GGGGGGACGGTTTTACCGGGGGATTCGCCGGGTTTTTGCCCTGTTCAGGGGTCGCTTAAGCTGCTTGGGTGGTGGGGATGGCGGTGTCTGCCTCTCCTTGGTGCTGGCTTTATTTCTGCACTCCACAGAATGCAGAAATTCCATGGAATTCTTGCTCAGGCTGCAGTTATTCCAAGGTAATAGATACCAGGGCTTTTGATATTTTATTTTTTTTTTTCCCCCTTAGACTCCATCCTCAAGACTTTGCAGAAATGTCTGTTAGGATGTCAGGATTTACAACGTGGTTTCTGATACCCCCTTGACCTAAGAGATGATAAATGCCCGCTGCTTCTGGGTGACTAAATATGCATCCTCATCAGCCCAGGGTTAGTGGGCCTTGTGCCCTGAGGTGGAATTGTGCAGGATGCATGTTTGTCTTCAATCCCTGCATTATAAAATTATACTGATTTGGTGTGCTGGCTTCGATCCCTGCAGTGTTATAAAATGCCCCTGCCTTTCAGAGTGAATTTCTGTGGGCACAGTCTGTACCCAAGGGTAGAGTTTCTGGCAAAGTTAGGTTAAGTGGTATCCCTGTTTTGAGTTTAAGTGGGCTGGAAAAGAAATGCTTCCTGTCTCGAAAAAAATGCACCAAACCCACAGCTTGTTCATCGTTTGTGTAGATTTCTATCACTGTTATTAGCTGCCTTGACTGCATTTAAAGACTAATTCTGGTGGGGACACGTGGCATATAGATGTCTGGTTGTGATTTGGGACTCTTTTACCAGGGAGTGTAGTTATAGGATGAGGGGTAATGGTTTTAAATGGAAAGAGGGGAAATTTAGATTAGATACTAGAAAAAAATTCTTTATTATGAGTGTGGTGAGACACTGGAACAGGTTGCCCAGAGAAGCTGTGGCTGCCCCATCCCTGGAGGGGTTCAAGGCCAGGCTGGAGGGGGCTTGGAGCAACCTGGTCTGGTGGGAGGTGTCCCTGCCCAGGGCAGGGGATTGGAACTGGATGATCTTTAAGTTCCCTTCCAACCCAAACCATTCAGTGATTCTGTGATCTGTGCCACCAGCAGTGCCTGGGTCCTACCAGGCTGTGGTACTTGGGGCATGGAGGCTGGGTCTCCTCTTTCAGTGCTGCCCTTGAGATGTCCCAATCTGGAAACAGTGAAGAGGGCTGTGTGCCTGTCTCCTTCCCTCACGGCCACTTGAGGACAACTGGCACCAGTGGAAGTACATCCTTGCTGATAAGGAGGCATGGCTGAGATCTGAGAGATACTGTCTTGAAGCAGAATGTCTCCTCAGCTCACCCTGGAGAGCTGTAGGTCCTTGCTGTGCTTCAGGCTGTACTGTTATGGGGCCTTGATGATGGAGGTTCCTCATTCCTTTGCTGTTTTGTAGTGTAAAGATTTTGCAGCTTGTCATGTGAAGGGAAAGGAGGAGTCAAAGATGTCCTTTTACCTTCCTCTGGACAGAGTCTCTGTAGCAACCAGCAGTGGAGGGCTAAAGTGACATGTAAATAAGCTGAATTGGACCGGTGATGCTTTTTTCCTTTTAAATAAGATCTGTAAGAGATAAATCAGTGTAATTTGAGCGATTTCAATGATGAAAGATGACCATTAGAAGAAAATCAGTTGCATATGCCAGCCCAGGAAGTTTTAATTTTAAAAGTGCTCGTGCAGCCTTAATTTTATCTTCAGCCTACTGTTTGCTTTAAGGAACAGTAAATAGCCTCATAGTTAAAGATTTTTCTAAGAATATTACATTATCCTTTTCCCCTGGGGATGCAGATCCTGTAAGCACTGTGTCCTCTCTGGTATATGACAAACCCCATCCATGACAGTTGCGTATGGAAGACTTGATGCAACAAAGGCTCATGCAAAATTAAGCAGATGGATCCCAACTGCCACTTACTGTAGATCTCATTCTATTGCTCCGTGAAGGATTCAGCTCTAATTTACTCCCATTTTAAGGTAAAAGGCCCATTATGGTGGTGAAATAAAACTCTGAAAATGGATGGCATGCTTACCTGCTCGCGTCGTTGATCTAAGCTGCCTCGATAGGCCTGCGTTGTAATGTGTTTAACCATCACGAATATGAACTTGTTGTGTTAGTAGCATCACTGAGATCAATTAGGCTGTCTACAGAGTGCTAGCTGAGGAAATTAAAGGTAGCAAAATCTTTGTCCACAGTTCTGCTTAACCAGGACAGCTCATGCTGACTGTTGGAGAGCAGTTAGGTAACACCACAGCATCCACACTGCTGATGGATGGGCCTGTGTCCCGGCTCCCTCCTTTGTTGGGGATTCCATTTCATCTTGGGTCAGTTAGTTTTCATGACGGTGGTTTTGATTTTGGTTTTTACGGTCACATCATGTTAGGTTTAGTTTTCCTGGAATTTCTCAGAGCCTTGATGGTAGAGGGCTATTTAAAAACAGAAAAACTCCTGGCAGCTCTATTACTATCTTAAAAGCTTATCCCCACGGCAATGCGTGCTCTTTTTTTTTAAAAAAAATTATTCTTTTCCTTACCTTTAGTTACTAGTAGTAACTAAATTGTCTTCAGTCTTGTATTATTTGGAAATCTGTTTTTAGAGGTAAACATTTCAGAAATGCTCGTGTCACCTGAGTGCTTTAGTCCCACTGATTTTCTTGCATTTCTTCTTTTTTAAATTATTTTTTATTTTTCCTAAGAGAACACAGACCTCTCTGGAGCCAGGTTTTCAGAGGTAATACAGTACCTAAAAATGCAGGCATCAACTGGGATTTTCCAGAGCTTGAATGCAGCAAGGTATTTATCTCCTGCTAATTTTAGCAGATTGAAAATCCCAGAAGTTATCCCAGATAAATGCTATCTGCTCCTCCAGGTTCCTAAATGCCTTTGAAGTCAAATTCTATTTTCAAAAGCTACTCAGGAACAAAGGTGGTGTTTAATTTACTTTTCCCTGATTTTCCAGAAGTGTTATTTTAAAATATAGATGTGGCTCAGTGTTTTGCTTAAACGAGCAAAGCCCAGAGCGTAAACATGGTGGCAACCAACGCGGCCCTGGCTGGGAGTGATCTGCAAAGGCCAAGATAGTGCTTCTCTCCATCCTGGCATAGCCATGAATAGGATTTGTTATGATAAGAAGCTAATATGACATTAACAAAAGTAGCTGTGCCTCGATTCATAATACCACTGCTCTGCATTATTCTAGGAATGTTCATCCAGGCTTTAGATGTGATTTATAAACTTTAATTAAATAAGCCTCTCGGAACCCCTTGTTGGTAATGTAGGGTTACTTCTAAGAACTCGAATTAACCAAGAAATAATTGAATAAAGGTTAATATGGGATAAGCTCTTCATTTTGCAGAAGAAGATACAGCTTTAAATGTTGCATCAGTTTTAGTTAGCACAGGAAACAGGAGAACTAACTCAAGGTCATTCAACAAGACCATGGAGGAGAGCCCTTGGGAGCTGACTGTGTACAACAAGGTGTTCTCAGGTTGATTCCCACTCTTCTGCTTACTGTAATATTTGTTTAGAGTGTTATAAACTGACTTTATCCTGCTTGGCATTGTGAAAAGGCATAAAGTAGAGGCAGTGAAGGTACAGAAGTTGTCCCCTGGCTTGTCAGTGTTCCTGTTAGCGCTGCTTATTTCAGCATTTGTGTCTCTCTGCTCTAGATCTGAAGAAGACTCCTCATCCTTCAGAAGTAGCATGCCCACAGTCTTCCTGGCCAATGATTCTTCTACAGCAAGCAGGACTTCTTCCTCATCCTGAGCAGCCTTCATCTCTTCCTATGTCAGTGGCTACAAGGCCAAGAGCCAGCTCACCACTGTCCCCACCAAAATCTCTCGGACTGGGGCCATCCTTTCATCACACACAAGAAGAAGAGCTTGCAAAGGTGGTGGAGCAGGACCCTATGCTGGAGGAACTATGTAAGCCCCTGTGCTGCAAGCTTTGCAATGTCACTCTGAATTCAGCACAACAAGCCCAGGCTCATTACCAGGTAAGGAGAGGAGCAGGAGGCACAGCTTTCAGAGCTTCTACCTCTGCAGCTTCTGTAGAGGTACCCACTGCCAGTAGCGTTGCTGTGGCAGCACAGAGCAGAGTGTGGGCTCCTGCACGAGGACTAACTTGGCTTCTCAAGGGGATTTTGAGTGCTACGTTGAGGTGGCTGCACACCAGCAGCAGCAGCATTTGAGTTAGCTCATCTGAAGCTACCTCTGCACCCTCTAATGGACTGGAAGCTGTGGCTAGAACTGCTCTGTAGACATATCTTCACCTTGCTTGAATTTGCTGGTCGTCCAGACATGCTGCAGGGCTTTCATTGAAGGTGTCACCACTGGAGTGTGCTGTGAAAACTTTGCCCACAGGGACAGAGAAGTAGTACCAAGATGGCATGGGTGAAAAGACAGATGCTCATAATTTTCCTTTAGTTTATGCAATCTATTTTCTACCTGTACCCTCATCCAGTAAAACAGAATGTCTGATTCCACAGATGTGATTTTATAAGACCTGGGCAGATGTTTTCTGCTGGATCCAGCAGTGCAGTTGGGAAAGGGAGCTGCTGCCACATGCTGATCACTGCCTCCTTCCTGAGGTTATGCACATGATTGGTCTGCTGATGGGGCTATTTATGCAAACTTTCTCTCATCTGCTTTGGACAGCATCAGCTGAGCCAATTAATTTTGTTCAGGCTGGTCTGGTTGACTTGTCTAAATGGGTTCAGGGCTGTTTGCTTATGCTTCTTTGCTGAGACATCGGGTATTTCACAGTCATGTGTTACACTATTTACTAGTAGCCTCTCTTACTAGCGCTATATTTGTGTGACAGTTGGAGATTTTAACTTTCTCTGCCACCAGATCCAAAAGGGTGGTTGTCAATATCCTCAGGACACCAGACAGAGATCTCAGATTTGCTGTTGGCCCTGGAAAAGTGGTATCTTGCCAGTGAAGGTGTATGCTGAATTAGTGTTGCACTTAAATGTCTAATTTTTGCAGTATTTCTGCCATGAGGGGGCAGAAGGGCATCTATAGTGCATACTCTCCTGTAGCTCTATCACATTTTCAAAACACCAAAAAGAACTATAGTATATGTTGTCCAAGGGAAAAAAAAAATACAAAGCAGGGTTTTTTAGATTCAATCTCATGTTTTAACTCAGGCTTGCAACCTCCTGGAAAGAAGTGTGTGTGTGTGTGTTCAGGCTGATCAAAAAGCTATGCAAAGCAGTTAATGTTTCATGTTTAGAATACAAAATGCTATTGTTAAGTGAAATAGGAGCAGATTGAGGAACTAACTGTAACCTTACTGATTTGAGAAAATAAATTAAAAATGAGGCCTGATTGGGCTAGGTGATGAGCATTTTGGAGAAAAGGGGGGATGCCAGCATCTCGCAAGTTCAGAGGTGTTATTTTCTGAGTGGCAGCTCCTTTACCTGAGGCACCATCTTCATGGCCACTTTCTCGTTTTGGTCTCTGAATCCTTTTCCTTTCAGCCTAAGATACTATTGTTAGGACCTTGATTAATCTGGGTTCTCTTTTCAGGGTAAAAACCACAGTAAGAAACTCCGAAATTACTATGCTGCCAACAGCTGTCCGGCACCTGCCAGAATGAGTAATTCGGTTGAGCCTGCCCCACCTCAGGTTGTCTCCCTTCCAGCTCAGGTAAGGCATGGGAAAGGTGTCTGAGATCATGCTGCTTACGTGTCACCCTGGCCCCCCAAAAAGAATAACTAGATCCCACCCTTTGAGGATTACTGGAGGAGTTGGGAAAGAATTTTCCTTGCTGGTGGTACAGGCTGGTGGAAAAGGCCTGTTGTGTGCTGTTTGCTTTCCTTTGAAGCCACAGATATCGATCTGCCCTTGCAGCAGAATATTGGACTTGAAATGCTCTATTTGTGTATGGCAAATAACTTTGATTCCTAGCTAAGTCTGATGTACTGCTGATGGTGGTTGTTTAAGGGCAGGTATAAAACAGCGGTTGTTGGAGCTGGATTTGGACGCGAGGGTGTGGCGCCCACTCTGCACAATCATCCCTCCATTGTGTGAGGGAAGCCTACATGGAAAAAAGTGCTTAGGTGCTCCTACACACATAGCCCAGGGCTGTTATCTAATTCCTCTTTTGTTGCTCCTTTTGCAGCGTTCATTGCTGTGTGTAGCATGAATGGATGGGTCCCTCTGTGATCCGGATTAATTCTGTCTCAGGCACATTAAAGGCAAAAGAGATGATTTTTGCTTTCTTCTTCATCACTTCTGATTGTCACGGGACTTAACAGCTCTTGCATGTGACTGTGCAGGGAACCACAGCTGGGATGGAAGCTGTGCCTGTCGTTTCCCAAAGCATCAGGCTCTGTTGTCTGTAGAAAAGCAAAGAGCTTTTGCTGTAAGCGGCGGTCGGAGCCCCAGGCGGTCGGAGCCGGCAGAGGGAGACTCATTCCCATGTAAATTGACTTTGAGTCTCACAGAACGGAATCAAGAGGGTGTGGGGTCCAGTCCTAGGTGATGGGACGTGGGTACTGTACCTGCTAGGGCTTCTGATGCATTTTATAATGGAGAAAATGGTCTACAGCAATAAAAACACTACTCCGGGGCCGTGTGAGGGTTCATGTTATAACACAGAAAGTCAGAATTGTGTGTGTGTCTGTTAAGCTTGAAAAATATCAAAGGAGATGTGAAAGAAACTGAAGTTGGCAAGTGCTGCAGTGACATGACTGTATGAATCACTGCTGCTGCACTGTTTACAGAGCACTTTTCTCTGGACGATACGCACCGAGGAGACGGGGTTGCTGCCCCAATTGGTGTGTGGTCTGACTAGAGAGGCTGGGTATCCCTCATATGGCAGCCTGTGAGGCTGGGTCCTTCCTCTGAAGTCCTGATCCAGGTATCCTCCTACCTACAGGGTAAGGATCAGAGGTTTGGCAGCTCTGCCTCTGTGTCCTCGATCTCTTACTGTGCTCAGGGAGCTGAGTAGAGACAGGGTGCTGTGGAGAGATTAGGAACGCTGTAAATAGGAGAGAGGACCACCTTTACCTTTCAGTGGGTCTTCCTCAGTGGTAAAGGCACTGGTCATCAGGTCCCAGCAGTCAGGAGTAGAGTTAAATCATCACTGTGAGGTGAGCAAGCCTCTGTAGCTATTGCAGAGGTACCGAGGGTTTGTTCAGGTTGCTTTCCTCTCCATCTGAGGCCAGGGATTTGCCTAGATCTCAAGGAATTTGTAGATTTTCCTGGAGGATGAGGCAGGGAAAATGAAGTTCTTGTAAGAATGGTTTGGGGAGCACTTGTCAGTCTCCTAATCCATGTGCTCTAATCCCAGCTCTCTTGTTGCCTGATGATGACGATGCTGGTCTCGGTCCCTGTGATTCAAACATTTCAACTATTTAACCTTCTTGTATTTCACATGCTGTCTCTCCCTTTGCTGCTAGATGGGATCCAGTAAACCAGGTGGCCGAGTGATCTTGGCCACGGAGAATGATTACTGCAAGCTTTGTGACGCCTCCTTTAGTTCTCCGGCTGTGGCCCAGGCTCACTACCAAGGGAAAAATCATGCCAAACGGCTGCGTCTTGCAGAAGCACAGAATAACTCGTTCTCGTAGGTATTGTTCAACTTCACGCTCAGGCTGAAAGCATGTGGCAGTCTTTTTTCTCAGAAAACTCTGAATTGTAGCTGTTCATCTTTGTTTCATCTTCAGGGATGCGTCGGAACTAGGCAAACGAAGGGCAAGGAAAGAAGGGAACGAATATAAGATGATGCAGAACAGAAGAAATATGTATACAGTTCAAAACAACACAGGTAACTGGGAGCTTGCATCTGTTCTATAGTTGGGATAATAACGATGAATAAACAGGCTTGTTTTTCTTCCGTTTCTGAGGTCTGTTTTTAGCAGAGACAGGTTGTGAAAGGAGCTGGTCCTAGCTCTGCTGATCCTTCACGTCTGCATGGTTTTTTTTCCCGGCTGCTAAAGTTGCTTTGTTTTGTCAGCCTGCTTGTGAGTTCAGTTTCTCAGTTTGTAACTTAATTTACCATCTGCCCGTCTCTAAGGCTGCTCTAAGTGGTGACAATTTTCCTGCTTTATTTTCGTGGCAAGCGGCCAGGTGCTTTGACTCCTACTGTAGCACATCGACCTGTGCTTGCGCTCCCATGACCAGAGTGAGAGAGCACGTTAGCCTCCCTCTAAGACCATCTGTTCCTAGAGTAGAGTCCTTCCTCAGGTATTAGACACTTAACTTCGCCTCTTTACTATGATTTAAAGTGTGTTTTATGGTGTCCGGCCCAGAATATGTTTCTCTTTTTCATTTTGAGTTGTGTTATGAGCACGTATTAACTGAAACCCTGATGCTTGGTGGAGCTTGGTTTAATCATGTCATTGTAACCATAGAATCATAGAATTGCCCAGGCTGGAAGGGACCTCCAAAGGTCATCTAGTCCGACCCCCCCGCAGTCAGCAGGGACACCCCCAACTAGACCAGGTTGCCCAGGGCCTCGTCGAGCCTCTCCTTGAATATCTCCAGGGAAGGGGCCTCAACCACCTCCCTGGGCAACCTGTTCCAGTGCTCCACCACCCTCACAGTAAAGAACCCCCTCCTAATCTCCAGTCTAAATCTGTTCCCCTCCATCTTTTCCACATAACCGCTGTTATGTGGAAAAGATAAATCTTGTAAAGTTCTATCAAATACCACTTTGTGATTATTTTAAACTGAGGCAGCTTATTCTAGTCAAAAGACGGTTCTAATTCTAGAATTGAAGGCTTAAGAAAAAAAAAAAAAGATTTGACTCATCACTTGAATGATTAGCTCCTAATTTTCAAAGCCCTATTGATTCTTATGAAGACCAGGGCACTAAGCCCACTCTGCTGCTTTAGAAAATACCAGCAAGTACCACTCCCCTGTGTGCTACACCCCTGTAAATCTGCATCTCACAGAATCACAGAATCTTCTAGGTTGGAAGGGACCTTAAAGATCATCTTGTCCAACCGTCAACCTGACTGACAAAAATAGACACCCACACAACAAACAAGGAGCATCATCACTAAACCAGACCTCCCAGCACTTCATCAACCCATCTTTTGAACACCTCCAGGGATGGTGCCTCAACCCCCTCCCTGGGCAGCCCATTCCAATGCCTGAGAACCCTTTCAGTGAAAAATTTTTTCCTAATATCCAGCCTGAACCTCCCCTGGTGCAACTTGAGGCCATTTCCTCTCGTCCTGTCGCCTGTGACTTGAGAAAAGAGACCGACCCCCACCTCTCTACACCCTCCTTTCAGGGAGTTGTAGAGAGCAATAAGGTCTCCCCTCAGCCTCCTCTTCTCCAGGCTGAACACCCCCAGCTCCCTCAGCCTCTCCTCATAAGACTTGTGCTCCAGACCCCTCACCATCTTTGTCGCCCTTCTCTGGCCCCGCTCCAGCACCTCAATGTCTTTTTTATGGTAGGGGGCCCAAAACTGGACACAGTACTCAAGGTGAGGCCTCACCAGTGCCGAGTACAGGGGGACGATCCCCTCTCGGGCCCTACTCGCCACACTGTTCCTGACTTCCTTTCTCACTTGAGAAATCGTGGGGAAATAAGGTTCAGGCTCTAGTCGGTTAAAGAAGCTAATATTTTTAAACATTTGTTGGGCTTAGAGCTTGTCACTGAGCTTTTCCTTTCTTTCTCATAGGTAAAACAGGCTTTTCTGTTGTCTCCTCAGGTCCTTACTTCAACCCCCGCTCCCGCCAGAGGATTCCTCGGGACCTGGCCATGTGTGTCACCCCCAGTGGCCAGTTCTACTGCTCCATGTGCAACGCAGGGGCCAGCGAGGAGATGGAGTTCAGGCAGCACTTAGAGAGCAAACAGCATAAAAGCAAGGTGTCCGAGCAGCGCTACAGGAACGAGATGGAGAACCTCGGCTACGTACAATGACGCGCCGCCCTCGGTAGTAATTTGCAACTAGAGCAGCTTGTCTCTCTCGCCTGCTGTTTGCCACATGCCCTGCTTTGTGCTCCATTCGATAGGAGTATTGCTCTCGAGCTATACGTGTCACACCTGCAAACTTTAACGGTATGGTTAGATTTATTTTCTGTCATAGTTGGCAGGACGACGACGCTGTGCGGGACATGAAGTGTTTTCGATGTTTGTTTGCTAATTAGCTAAGGCTCTTCGTTGTATCGAGTGGCGGGGGGAGGACTTTTGGCTTCTCCCCAGCCTTCTGCATGAATATGCAAAGCCCAAGAAGTGCTGGGAACTTCTGTCCTTCTACCACACGAGGTGGACCATGTGCAGAGCCCACTCCCCTCTTTGCACACCGCAGAGCAGCGCTCCACAATGCCTCCCGACAGCAGACTGAATCTCTGGGCAGCTTTTAAAGGAGGGGCAGGAAAGGGGCCTGTGAATGTGTGAATTAGGTGGTGTACTCATCCACAAATTGCTGCTTGTGGCCCCTGTTACAGCCCAGAGTTAAGTTCTTTCCACGTCCTTGTAGAAAGGCTGTGCATACCTCTCCTCCTTGGAGAGTCGTGCCTCTTACCACTTCCTCTGCGATGCAGATTTCATTCTGAACATCAGACATTGGCTGTCAGCTGATTAGCCCCATTCAGAAATACTCTCTTCTACCAGTTAGCCATGAAAAAAGATTCTTAATGTTGTTGGCTGAGCACCTTAATGCACCATAGAGGGTAGCTCATCTCCCTGAAGAGAGTCTCTGCGGGTCTCAGTGACTTAATGAAGTGAATTGGAAAGCAAACCTGCTCAGATGAGATGTACTCTGCTTTCATTCTGCCTTAGACTTGAGTAGGGTTGAGAAGAGGTTGGAAGGAGCTGCCAGCTGTGATTTCTTTGCATACTGATGTAGAAGAGAGCAGGCACCAATCTCTGGCCTGTAGCCTTGGTCTCTGGCCTGCAGCTCTGTTGCTCTGGGAGAGCAGGGCTCCCCAGACCTTTGGGAACAGATATCAGTGTGTCCCACTTCCATGCCATTCCCTGCACAAAACCCAATGGGTATTATAGAGGAGAGGTGAAAAGCTCCTTTAGACTAGAGCTACCAATATATGATTAATTTCCCCCCCCCTTTCTTTTCCCATCTGCAAATGGATTTTAATTCCATTCCTCTATGTGAATTTCAGTGTTTTAGGGACCATCAAAAATCCAAAGTTAGGTAGGATATAAATGTCAGGGGTGATGATTGTTGAGTAACAGCTTTTTGGCCAAGCAGAAGTACTCATGGAACTTGTTGAGCAGCTTCCTAAGTGTGGACGAACCCAAAGGGTGTGTGTCTGGTTTATTTTCTTTAGCAAAAGTAGAAAGAAGACGAAGAGCAGAAGTAGGGCTGCCATGTATTTTTCTGCTCGTTTGGGTGGATGTCAGGTGCTGTGGGTTGGAATCAAGTTCCCAGTGTTTCTCAGGTGGTGGCTCTGGTGGTGAGTGCAGGACGTAGGTAACCTCCTCTGGCCCCGAGTCCCCACTGCGCTGCTACAGCCGTACGCCCGTACAGCTTCCTCAACTTCAGTGGCAGGGCCAGCCAGGGGGTGAAGGAAGCATCACAGCTTGTCCCTCACTCCTTTTTAGGCAGTAAGTTGAATTAGATGCAGCTCTGTTGGTTTCAGTAGCATTTTCCCAGGGATAAGTTTTACCTAGTGCATAACGTTGAAGGTAGCTCCCCCCAACCCCTGTTTTTTGCCATTCTGATCCCACCTCTTGCTTTTCAAAAGGACTTTCTTCTTGCCTTAAAAAATGGAAAACGAGCAAACTAACAACAACAAAAAAAAAATCCAGATGGTTTTTAGTCATCTTTCTAGTCCACCTCAGAAAGGTTTGGTGCACTTGGCTGCTCCTCAGAAATGGAATATTGTTGCCTTTAACTGCCGGAGCATCGGGTACAACCTTCAGGCAGCCTTCCTAAATCATCATCACCTCCCTAAATCCCATCTCGGATGGGATTCCCTCCCCTCCCTTGTGCAAAGACCAGTTAAATGGGGTTTGTGCACTGGAGCACGTTGGACGGCAGGAGGACGGGTGCCCAGGTTGCAGAGCACTCACTGAGCAGTCTCAACAGCCTGTTTCTTCTGCGCTTTCCTGCCCCTGGCTTACCCTCTGTGTGGCCTTGAAGAACATTCCCCTTGCAAAAAAAATCTCTCATCTGCCTTTTCCCCTCGTCTTTGGCAGTCAAAGAAGGGCTCTGCTTTTCTCTTTGTGTTCTGCCTTTTATTTTCCTTGTCTGAGGTGGCTGTGCAGGGAGAGAGGGAGCTGGATGAGCCTTACCCACGGTGTGTTTCACCGGAGTCATCCCCACGTTGTGGTTAAACATCCCTCCTGCTGTAAATTAAAGCGTGGCATTTCCCACAGGCTGCAATTAGTAGCAGAAAAACAACACTTTGTAAGAGAAGAGCTGGACGAGCTGTAGGAGCTGGTGTTGTCTAGCTCATTGCTAGGACCAAGAAGGCAGTTTTGTCTGCTTTCGTTTGTCCCTAAAATCAACCATTCCCTGCTTTCCTTTGGTTGCTGCTCCCAGCCCAGCGATTGTTTGGCCACATTTGGCATTTCCAGTGACTGCTGGAGGTGTCAAAACTCAGTTTGCTCCATGTGCTGTTGCCTCCTGGCACGAAAGTGCTGCAGCACCCCAGGGTGTGCCAGGGAGGTGGGGGTTCCTGCAGGCTCCTCTCTGCATGGAGCCAAGCCTGGTGTAGAGGAATGGCTGGAGCCTGCCCTGAACAGAGAGACCTGGAGCTGCTTTGTTTTGTTCAAGGGAGTAGAACAAGTGAATGTCATCCTCCTGAGAATTTATTATAGCAGGTATAAAACAGACAGTGAGACCCCAGTGATGAGAGTAGGACAGGTTTCCTACATGGGAGGAAAGCTGTTTCTTGCAGGGAGAAGCAGCTGAGACTTGCTTTGCCCCAGTGCCCTGCCCTTCCCTACATGTGACCAATCTTGCTTCTCCCTCTTCAGCCTTAATAGTTTGTGATCTTCCTGCTCTCCCTCCAGCATAGAGAATAGTTGACTGCAAAGAGAGAACACCCCACCTCCCTAATATCACGAGGGTTCAGGCCAATCCAAACTCACACTTGCCAGCGTGAGGAACCGGGTGGATGCTGATTTTATTTTTTGTATGAAAGCTGTTCTCCAAATCAGTGTTCAAAACACTTACTGCAAACACTTTGTGGGGCTGGAGAGACTACCATACGGCTGTAGTACCACTTTCCAGACCCATTGAATCTTTTTTCTCATGTTAAACAAAGTACCAAACCCAAGAAACAGGACTTCTGAGAAGCTGTCACATTGGCCAGTAGGTTAATGACCTTTGCTGCTAGAAACGAAATATAAATCAATGTGTTCATATTTATTTTACTGTGCTGACCACTAATTGATTTGTTAATATTTAAGGCATTAATCTGTAGGTTGTTTTTGTTTAAATAGAAAACTTTACATTGCACTTTGCTTTTGGATCAGAACAGGTATTTATTATATTTGTGAAAATGTTTTCCCCTCCCAGGGGAGGGATTGAGAGCAGCCCTGAGGAGAAGGACTTGGGGGTTCTGGTGGACAAGAAGCTCAACATGAGCCAACAACTTGAGGTGGACGAGAAGCTCAACATGAGCCAACAACTTGCGATCACAGCCCAGAAACCCAACTGTGTCCTCGGCTACATCAAAAGAAGTGTGGCCAGCAGAGTGAGGGGAGGATTCTACCCCTCTACTGTGGTATTGTGGGATCCCACCTGGGGCTCTGTGTCCAGCTTTGGAGTCCTTAACACAGAAGGGACATGGACCTGTTGGAGCGGGTCCAGAGGAGGCCACGGAGATGCTCCAAGAGCTGGAGCCCCTCTGCTGTGAGGACAGGCTGAGAGAGTTGGGGGGGGTCAGCCTGGAGAGGAGAAGGCTCCAGGGAGACCTTAGAGCTCCTTCCAGTCCCTCAAGGGGCTCCAGGAGAGATGGGGAGGGACTGTGGATCAGGGAGGGGAGCCATAGGATGAGGGGGGAATGGTTTTGAACTGAAAGAGGGGAGATTTAGCTGAGATCTCAGGAAGAAGTTCTTCACTCTGAGGGTGGTGAGAGCCTGGCCCAGGTTGCCCAGAGAAGCTGTGGCTGCCCCATCCCTGGAGGAGTTCAAGGGCAGGTTGGAGGGGGCTTTGAGCAACCTGGTCTGGTGGGAGGTGTCCCTGCCCAGGGCAGGGGTTGGAACTCTGTGATCTTTAAGGTCCCTTCCAACCCAAACCACTCTATGATTCTGTATGTATTGTTTTCTTTCCCTTGATGAATAATACCCCCCAAACAAGAAAACCTACCCCAGAACAGCTTTGCTTCTTTTCACACCAAACAAAGTGGGTATTTCCTTGCAACTCACACTTAAATGTCCATTTCTAATATTCTCTGTTTTATTTTTTTCCTCCAATGATTCCTTTGGTAACTTGGAATGAGATTTTTAGAGACATATGAAGTTCATATTACATTTAAGCATTTCTTTTAAGGCGAGGAAGTAAACTGTGTGGAATCCATGTATTTGTGAGGAGTATGAAAGTGATACTATTTTGTTTGTATTAAGCATTAGCTGTTATTTTGCATTCTGTACTAATGAGTAAATGTGTTATTATCTTGCCTAACACTGGTCTACTTTTGACTTTTTGTTTTCTTCATGTACATCAAAAGGAACCCTGAAAAACTTCTGTGGAGTTGCTTAGGATGGGCATCAGTGTAAGAAAATGCAGATTTTTTTTCTCTAAAGCTTCTTGTCTTTTTTTCCTTTTCTAGGTGCCCATTCTAGGGCATTAGAAGGGAAAGCTAATGCCATATGCAAGGATCCATATTTTAGCTTATTAATGCATGATGTCCTTTTGCTACGATTCTTAAGTAATATTCTCACTGTAATCAAAGGGAATCTTGCCCAGGTCAGGAGTAAATGAAATATCCTCACGAAATATATTATATTGGCTAAGGCCAGGCAAGGTACGTTGCTAAAATTTGTTCTTTTACTTCTGTGTTTGGGTTACAACACTCTTAAGGTTTTGCTTTTTGAGGAATATGTATCTGATTCTGTAAGGATTTTGTCCTGCTCCAGCTGAAATAATTTGAAGTACCTTGACTTTAGTTGAGTAGGAGCAAACCTTGAAGCCCTTCAGGAATTTCATACTGCTGATGTTTTCTCAGATATGTGGTTTTTTTGTTTTGTGGGTGGGGTTTTTTTGTTAAATTTTACCGCCTTGTATACAAGGATGCTCTGGATGAGATGGACGGCTGTTGCCAGTTATGGAAAAACAAATGCCGTGGTTGCCAAAGGATTAATGGAAAATGGACAAGTCTGGAGTTGGTTTCTTTGAAGTTAGTGGTTGAGCTCTGTTGTTTTGAGCTGGGCTGGCTTCTTTGCCATCCGTGTGAGATTGGAAGTGAAAGTAAAATCTGTTTTCAAATGAATGTGGTCAAACGCTAGTTTCAGGAACCTCTCCTTTAAACGATGTATCACCATTAAAATTGGATCTTTTTATCTGAAGAATCTGCAGGTAAAGGCAGGACTGTGACTTTTTAAAAATAAAATCAGTTTTTCAGACGGTGTTTTGCAGGGGAAAAAAGACTTGATTTAATTTCCTTCTGCATCTGTCCAGCAACATCATTTGCAAGTGCTTTGACCGTGTTTCATCTAGAGCCTTCTTGTCAGGTTGGTTTTGTACATTTGTCCTTATTTTCTTTATATTGTACTGACCCCCCGTGAGGGAATAGTTGATGAAAATGATTTCTTTTTTTTTTCTTTTTTTTTTTTCTTCAGTATATAATAAATCATCTTGCTCTTATCATTGTAGAGCCTTAGTGTTTGGTATTGCTGCTGCTCGTGGTATGGCTGGACTGAATGGATTTTAGCTGAGTGTTGAGGGTGACTGCAGGAGTGATAAGTTTTCATGTGCTGATGAAGGAGTATAGTCCAGGGTAGAATTTGTTACTCTGAACTGTTCTGGCTTCAGAAGGGCTTGGGAGAGCATCTGAAAGGATGGGAACCAGAAGGTTTTGAGCTGTGCTTTCCCCCTGAGCAGATATCACGAGCTCTGGAGCAGCCCCAGGCTGACCACGGACTGACTTTCAACTCTAACTCTACAAAGGTGGGGACAAGCTGAGCCTGATCCTTACACTTGCACATTTTTTATTTTTTTTTTTTGCCAGCATCCTCTTTCCCTCTTTCATTACTTGAGGGCTCCAGAGGAGCAGATGCTTATGCAGCGTAAATGACTTTCCAAACAGAAAGGACGTTCTGAACTGGAGCCTTGGAGCGGGGAAAATGGGCACTTTGCTGGGTTCAACCCAGGTGAGAGAGAGAAACTCTGCCCACCCTTGGTGCTGCAGTGAGCTCTTGGCCTTGGTGGCCGTGTCCTGGTGGCACACACAGGACATTTGGGGATGTGAGTGCCATGGAGGCACAGCTCTGAGTGTGTAGAAAGTGACTGTGAACAGGGACGTGTCCCCTGCGCCCCCCTGCCTAATTCACAGGCATTTGTTAAATTAGGCAGCAAATGAAATAGTATAAAAAAAAATAGATGAAAATCTAAGACTAATTGTATGATTTCAAAGCATAGATAGCCCTCCTTCTGCTTCTCCAATTACCCTGGTGTCTAAGGATCTCGCTTAATTGTCTTGCAACGTTTTACAGCTGAGAAAGTAAAGTTTGGGGAAAAAATAAGTGATTTGCCCAGAAAGTCTGTGGTTGAAAACGAAGATTGAATCCAAAGCCTTTAAATGCCAGGCTGCTGACCCTGCTGCATCGCCCTTCACCCGCCCCCTTCACAGGCTG